GGAGCTGTAAAAATATATTGAGATGGTTTTTGGTACTTATACCGCAAATATATATTCTTAAGGACATCAAAACCTCAAATAAAACTCCAGAAAGGTGTACAATATAGGACCTTTAAAGACTGTGTGAAATCAAAATTATAAACGTATGTAATTAAAATATATATTTGAGGCTGTATTTATCAAATTTTTCCACATCATCACAGCAGATTTTTTTCACATTCAAATGGGAAGTCTTTAAAAAAAAAAAAAAACAACAGGCCAATCAGAAGAGAGGCTCATGAATATTAATTAGACAGACCAAAATCGACCTGTTCTCAGCAGAGCTCCTGAGAGAGGAGCTGTAAAAATATATTGAGATGGTTTTTGGTACTTATACCGCAAATATATATTCTTAAGGACATCAAAACCTCAAATAAAACTCCAGAAAGGTGTACAATATAGGACCTTTAAAGACTGTGTGAAATCAAAATTATAAACGTATGTAATTAAAATATATATTTGAGGCTGTATTTATCAAATTTTTCCACATCATCACAGCAGATTTTTTTCACATTCAAATGGGAAGTCTTTAAAAAAAAAAAAAAAAGACCAAAAATGTTGATTTGATATTTCAAAAATATTTCTTGTTTAAACATTAAATCAGTGTAACATATAGAATTTTAAACTTGTACTTTTTTTTTAATGAGAGCAGTAACAGTAAAGAGACTATTTATAATGGAAAAATGTGACATAATTGAATGGGTTTATATGACTGAACGTGTTCTGCCTACCTTGTATCTTTTAACATTCATATTTGTATGATAAATAACAAAATATTTAAATAATGTAGATAATGGATTAAAATTATTTTATTTTTTAATTTAAATGATTCTGTTTTTAATAAATATAGTAATATAATATAATAAATAATTTTTGGATTATTACATTCGATTAATCGAATAAATAATCTGCAGATTAATCCATTTTTTAAATAATCGTTAGCTGCAGCCCTAATCTTGGAACTGTTTTTGGATTTTCTGTCCAATTAATGAAAGAAACAGTCAAACGATTAATCAGTTATTAAAACAATCTATGAACAGTTAAAGCCCTACTCATTAGATAATTTCTATGGGGATTTTAATAACTGAAAAGTTATTAAAAGTTACTCCGATATCTCACTGTGAACTTGCAGGTCTTCAGACCAGTCAGGATGCTCATTTCTACGCGCTGTCATCCCGCTTTGCTGATTTCAGCAACAAGGATCAGCCCCTCGTGATCCAGTTCACTGTAAAACACGAGCAGAGCATTGACTGTGGTGGAGGCTACATCAAACTTTTCCCATCAGACCTCAAACAGGAAGATATGCATGGAGACTCCACATATAATATCATGTTTGGTGATTATCTTAATAACCACTTCATTGATGAACATTTTAAACATTTTGTGCTTTTGGACACACAAGATGATTTAACTTGTTTTGTCTCTTCCAGGTCCTGACATCTGTGGCCCTGGAACCAAGAAAGTACATGTAATCTTCAATTATAAAGGCAAAAATCATTTGATCAACAAAGACATTAGAGCCAAGGTAATCCTATTGTTCATGTATTTCTTTTTTGTCCCATGATGCTCCATGGCACCAGTCCTCCAAGCTCATATACCATATATTTTATCATCCAGGATGATGAATACACCCACCTGTACACGTTAATTGTCAATCTTGACAACACTTATGAAGTCAAGCTTGATAATAAGAAGGTAGAGTCTGGATCTTTGGAAGAAGACTGGGACTTCCTGCCTCCCAAAAAGATCAAAGATCCCGAAGCGAAAAAGCCTGAGGACTGGGACGAGAGGGAGAAGATCGATGACCCTGATGACAAGAAACCAGAGGTAAGGACAGTGTCCTTGTTGTTTGTCCAGAAACCAAACAGATTCTTTCTCTTGTTTGTCACAAAACAGATTAACTCTAAGCCACTATTTGGGGTAAATATGCACAGATCACCAAGTAAATTAGTGCATGCCCTGGATTTCCTGTATCTTAACAACAGCCGTTCCAATATAAAGTATAAAATGATATATTCCTTGCTAATATCATCTTTGTCTGTATGCTTCTGTAGGACTGGGACAAACCCGAGAACATCCCTGATCCTGATGCCAAGAAGCCTGATGACTGGGACGATGAGATGGATGGGGAGTGGGAGCCGCCCATGGTCACCAATCCAGAATACAAGGTACTATTGTTTCTTCAGTTGTGGTTTCTGTAATGGAAGTAGCGACAGATATTTTCTTCCATATTGTGATGTGCATCGGAGTAAAACGGATTATAGAAAAGAATAAAATGTATGGCAGGGTCTTGGTTCTATCCATCGGTTGTTGATTGGATGGCGGCAGTGAACTTGAGGTTGATTTAAAAGAAAGGATGGGTTTATGATTGGAGAAGCCTGGCATATGAAACCTATAGGCTACATGGATAAATCATTCACAATAAGATCAATAACATGCATTTAGAAAATATATAGGGTGAATTTCCATTTCATGCCTGCTTTAATATTGAAAAAAGATGCAGATTATGCCTAAAACATTATTTTGTCACAATGAATACTGGGTTTGTTTGCGGTTTTATTTCCAAAATTGAATTTTGAATCTTTTCTAGGGTGAGTGGAAACCCCGCCAGATTGACAATCCTGCTTACAAGGGGAAATGGGTGCACCCTGAGATTGATAACCCGGAGTACACAGCTGACAACGAAATCTATAACTACGATAGCATCGGAGTGATTGGACTGGACTTGTGGCAGGTAGCAATTTGCTTTGTGTCTCAAACACAATTACAATTTTCAGATATTTAATACTGTTTATTGAGACATTCTATACCACCTTTCCTTGTATTTTATGCGTTAGGTGAAATCTGGCACAATTTTTGACAACTTCCTCATTACTAATGACCCTAAGTTGGCAGAAGAGGTTGGCAATGAGACTTGGGGTGCCACAAAGGTATGATTCTTCAATTATTATGTCTCCATCCTAAATCATTTTTCTTTTTTTTTAATTGTAGTTTTTAATAGAAATGTCTAATTTTTATCTCAGGATGCTGAGAAGAAGATGAAGGAAGGTCAAGAGGAGGAAGAGAGAAAGAAGCATCAGGAAGAGGAAAAGACAAGAAAGGAGGAGGCAAAGCATGAAGAGGAAGAAGAAGATAAGGAAGAGGAGGAAGAGGAAGAGGAGGAGGAAGAGGAAACAGACTCTAAACTCAAAGACGAGTTGTAGATTTCAACAGGAACTTGTGAAGAAATGCCCCATGACTAATGGGGTACAAGGCAGAGAACTGGACTAATGCTGGACATTCCTTTTCGTTGTCTGTCGGATGATTCCGGCAGGATTGATTTTTTTGTCTCATTCCACTACTACAAACCTATTTTTAGATTAACTTTTTTTCATCATTTTCATTTGCATGATGTCAAGCAAAGTCCCAAGCATTTTCAGTCGGGCAGGGTTGAAGGCAGCCAACATGAAAATCCCCATCTGTAGTGTGAGATACCACGATCCATAAAAATTCAACGCTCATGTTTACAAATGTCAGATATCCTGTTTGCTAAGCAATTCTGTGACATGAAACTTGAATCATAAGCTACAATACACTAGAATACTTACCTCAAAAAACATTATCGTTATCGATTTTGTTGATAATATGGAGCAAATTTGAGGTACTGTTGCCGCCATTTCGTTCCCATTGCACTTCTGTTACAGAATATGCCAGGTTGTTTAGATAGATGTCATCTCATCTACAGCATTTTGGCTTGACACAGTTTTGCGTGTGTGAGTTTGTGAGAGAGAGTCCTCACTTTATTGCATGTTTCATCTTAACCCAAACCTCAATTTCATTACCTTTTCCTCGCTCTTAATATCAATCTATCAGTGACCAGGTTAAAATCTTGGTCGTGTACTTTCCTAAACACTATGTGGATCTCACAAGCTGATACAATTTTGATCTTACCCTGGTCAGCAAGCAAATTCCGACTCACCTGGTTTCTCAAGAGTCAAAATGAAGAATTTCCATGTCTGACTGACTGAATATTTGGGGAAAGTGAATTAATATCAACAACGATTTCTCTGAGTAGCTGCAAAACTCTTGTGTGTTTGCTTTGGTTCTTTTCATTAACTGAATTGCTGATTTATTGAATTCGGCAAATATGGTAATCGGGCCGAAGCTGAACCTGTGGAGTGAGGAAAAATGGAAAGCTTGTGAGATTTCAAAGGGTGTTACGAGGAAAGTTCCATAGCGATTCTAGTAACACTTCTGCTCTCCAACAAGAGATTTCACAGCCATTGTGAATATTGCACTGCTGTACTGCTTCAATCAGATACTTCTCCCAGCAAAACAGATTGTGACCTTTTTTTTTTTTAAAGATATATTTTGTACTTTTTGTGTTTGAAGGACGTTCCTTGACATATTGAGAAGTAAAGCTCTAGTATGAAAGTTGTTGTCCAATAATAAAACTACAAAAAGAGTAATATACTCAAGTGTCTTGACTAGTTTTTGAACACATAAACTAAAAAAAATGTTGTAAATTAATTACTTAACTTAAAAAAATGATAAATAGATAATAAATAAATAATCTTATGAATATAATAAATGCATACACTTAATTTCACAGCAAACGTGCACTTTTTGACTTTGTAGAATATTCCTTGTAGGTTATGAGTAAAATATGTGTGGTTAAAATTACATGGTGTGAGGGCTTTTTTTGTTGTAAATAAGCTGTTTTGTCAAGTGTAGGGGGACTAGGAGTGACACTTAAAATTATGACACAAGTTATCAAGTTATTAATGTAAACAAACATGAAAATAGACCACTTTGTAAATAGACAACTACATTTTTAATTTATGTTTTAAATATAATATTTTTAAATGAAAAATAAAGGGACAACTTTAAACAAAACTGTTTAATTCATCTATTAAAGATACAGCAGCTTTAGAATTTCAACAAAATGTGAAAATTAACCACACACAAATTTTTCACACAAAAAAAATCTCCATTATAAAACCTATAGTCTAAGAAAAGGAGAAATTCTATTTTTCTGGGTTTTAGTACTACAAACTGAACAATTCACGGAGTCCTCATCCACTGATAATTCCCGTGCCAGGTTTTGTATATCTTTCTGATCTACCGAGAACTCCAGAAGTGCCATCGCATGTTACCGCCTACAGATCCGCTGAAAAATCCAGCGCCGGGTTTTATTCATCCTCAATCCACCGAGAAATCCAGTACCAGGTTTTGTAGCATCCCTATATTGTCCATTGCCTATCGCAACGCAGGATGAACTAGTGGGAACAGAAACACTATGGCTGCCAGTTTCTCCCTGACTCAGGTAACCTCCCTTTCTACACAAATATAGCGCTCTCCACACCACTTTCCAGCTCGTTTTATACGTTTATCAGATCCGTTAAACTTTATTTTAGCCGTTTAGCGTGGCAAATGATCACACCCTGCTATCTGATCGCAGCTGTTTAAAGCTGTTTCCAGCCATTTGCTTGGGCAGAGAAAAAGTTTCAGTATGATCTTTTAGGGACTTGCGTAAGGGCGTAGCTTAGTGTGTCAGTGTTGAACTAAGCTGTTTAGAGTTTACTTATTTTTTCAGCTTTCGCATGTCATGAGATCATCCAAAGTTACTGTACTTTTTTTTTTAGATCAGCTTGTATTTTTACATGTCTCGGCTGTGAACGTGCGAAAGTGCTTGTGAAATGTGTCTTTGCCTATATAAACACTTAACAGAGGAGCAATGACGAATACTTCTTCAATTTATGTCACAATAACTCGGGTTATAATATTAAACACGTATTTCACTTATATCTGACATTGGTGTTGGGATTACTGGTGTGTTTTAGTGCATTAAACCATGCTCTGTGTTTTTAGAGGCATTGAAAAGCAGCAGGAAGTTTTGCTTCACTGCTAGCTTACTTTTTCTCTCCTCATGTATTAATAATAAATAGGAACTAGTCGATGTTTTATGCAAATATGGCATGTACTATCCTGTTGGAGTCATTTTGTGTATTTTTCACTTTTGTGGACTTCGTTATTCTATCCATAGCAACTCTTTGTCTCTTATCTAGAGTCTGTAAACGAATTAGCCAGCTAGCTAAAGCATTTGACACTCGCTAGCTGGATAAACAGATCATTCATCTTCAAAAAAAAGTTATAGTCGCGTAAAATCAGTCTCAATAACATCTTAAAGAGTCAGAAATCTCAAACCAGATAAGTATGAACTTATTTCCGGTTTGGTCTTTGTGGATAATTAAATATTAATGAAATAGCTTCAGTGACACTCGTACAGCTGTTCTTCTGTAAGAAAGGTCTCTGGCAGCATATGCATTACATGCATAGAGTCACTTATAGCTGTTTTAATAGTCTAGAGGGATCCATGCATTGATTAAATTGATGGTCTAAAATGTTCCTCATTTTAGTTGGCATGTTTGCTTTTTTATTGCTTTAAGAATAACACTTCTCTAATGGCAAGGATGGTTGTAGTGTTGACCACATTGCAGCTGATGGAGTGCTCAGTTTTAGAAGCAAGGCACACATGCATGAAATATGCATTGCAGCATTACCTCATCAAGAAGACTTTAGACGGCGCAAGAGACATGTCTGATATGTCTTCCGTCTCTTCTGCTTTCTATGATTCCAAGATCATAGGGTTTTTTAGGCATATTGTGAGGAGGCAAAAGACAACCATGAAATGATCCAGTGAGTCACCATGATCATATTCAAAATGTTGGTTTTTAGAATGTTAGTTTTTTAAATTCATATTTTATATTTTTCAATTTTTTAAAACAATTTTATCAAAAAAATCCATTAATCATTTAATGTTTCATATTTGCAGCTTTAATTTCACCACATTATTTCTGCATTTGTTTAAATGCATTTGTAAATGCATCTTTTTGTAATATTTTTATTCAGCTTCTGTGTTGACTTTGCAGTGTAAAAAAGTTGCATGACAGATTATGATGCCAAGATAATTTTGTAGATTTAGTTGATGGTATTTTTTGTTGTATGTTTAATCATGGTTTACTAAGCATTTGCTTTGTGGGACCGTGGTAATTGAACAGAAAATGCCGGGTGTATTTCACCCTTTGAAAGGAGTTTTTTTTTTTTTTTTTTTTTTAAGAAGCACAACAAAAACTCCTACTTCTTTCTCAGCAGGGCAAGGAAATGTTTGGTGGCACTTCACTGAATATTGTGTGCCAGCATCACATTAGCATGCACCAGTAACCACCTGATGGGAGACAGACAGAGCTGTTGAACTACAATCAAAAAAACAGTTGGGATCTGGCAGAGCTTAATCTAACATGGCCAGAAAAGCAATTTGATGCTTATGCATCATGGTGATATGTAAGATCATATGAGCTCCTAATAGCTTTTGATTGGCAGAGGGGTTGACGTTTACTAAACACACAATTTAAAGGGGTCATATGATGCGATTTCACACACGCTTGAGGAATTTGGCCAATCACAACACTGGATAGCTGGCCAATCAGAGCACACCTCGCTTTTTCAGACCGATGAGCTTTGTAAAAATCGATGCGTTTCAGAAAGGCGGGGCATAGAGGAGAAACAATAATGTACAGTATGTGGAAAATAATGTGTTTTTTGAACCTTAAACCGCATAGACACATTTCATTACACCAAATACACAAAATAATGTTCTTTTTAGCAGCATCATATGACCCCTTTAACAATCATGATTTGGTCTCCGTAATGCATCTGATTTCACTTGATCCGTCCATATGTTATAAATTTTCCCCCCCCGCCCCCCACAACTTTTGTGAATCACAACTCAACAAAAGCTCAGTGTTTTTATTGTGCAGAGAATGGCAGGCGACTTAAGAAAGCCTCCGTTTATGTGTGAATGGGTGTATAATCAACATCTTTGAATACAGAAAGGTGTGTGAGTGCTTGAAGTCATTCTGAGATCATTTATAAATGTTCACCTGGTTGCCAGATGGCTTTAACGTTTCCTTTTCAGAGGTCTGAATGCATCAATGCTGCCAAGAAAGTCAACAGTTTAGAAGAATATGCTGTTTAATTGGCTTATTTATGTCCTGGTTTTATCAGTTTGACGTGTTTTAGAGAGATTGAACAATGTCTTCGGAATCATTTCAATCAAGTTTTGTGTTATTTGGTTGCAGCTTTCGAGTGGGAATCCTGTCTATGAGCAATACTATCGACAGGTAAGCATTTAATCAGCTTTTTCTGTGTTATGTTTCACTTTGGCCTTATAGAGCACTTGGCGGAAGAATAGAAATATAAACCTCACCGCACTGTCAGTTTGAGCTAAAGGCTTCTGCCTCCCGTAAGTGTCTTTCTCTCAGTAAGAGGATGCCGTTATGAATTAGTGATGACACTTGCAAACCGAAGAGGACACATGGTGAGTGAAGCAGCTTGTTTGAACTAGTGGTTTAAACATCTTGCTGCTGGTTTCTCATTCGAGTGAATCTCTCCACATAAGCATTTGTGCATTGCATTGGTCCTTATTCATTTTTCGGATTGTTTTTGGATGTTCATTTCTTCTGTATACTGTGCAATAGGCCTTAAGGGCTCTTAAAGTGTCTTAAACACACTTCGCTTTTAATTATTCTTGTTAGATGTGATTTGCATACTTGATTGATAAGTCATTTATAGTATTACGTAATATGAATGTGAATTATGACTATTTGGCACACACCCTGTTACTAAAAGCGCCATTGTGTGTCATCCTATAGTTATGAAGCAAAAACCTGTTGTCACTTTTGACACATTTTGACAGTAATATTTATTAGCTATTTAAATAAATTATTTTATTAAGCAAGGATGGGTTAAACTGATCAAAAGTGACAGTAAAAAATTGTATAATGTTACATAAGATTTCGATTTAAAATAATAAATGCTGTTCTTTTGAACTTTCTAGTCATCGAAGAATTATAAAAAACAAGGTTCAACAAAAATATTAGTAGCACAACTGTTTTTAGCATTGATAATAATAAGAAATGATTCCTGATCACCAAATCAACATATTAAAATTATATCCGTAAGATCATGTGACACTAAAGTAATTCGACTTGGAAAATTCGACTTTGCATCACAGGAATAAATTACATTTTAGAATATATTCAAATAGAAAACAGTTATTTTAAATTCTAATAATATTTCATAAAATTACAATTTTACTGTATTTTTGATCAAATAAATGCAGTCTTGTTGTGCATGACAGAAATGTAAAAAAAAACCTCCCCGGCCCCAAACATGAAATAATTTTTATGCTGTATGCTTTATTCCACTACAGGTAAATCCGTCCGGCAGTGGGCAAGTAGGAGCTGCTGATGCGGCCTTATTTTTAAAGAGATCTGGCCTTACAGACCTGATCCTTGGCAAGGTAACATCAGTTAGCGCGCCTTCAATATAGCTGTGTGGGAAATGCAAATCGGTGAATTGATTGACGAGT